CACGTGCTTACTACTAGTTTATATAAAGTTGTGATTCTTCAAGAATACAATCCAATTTTTACCTTTCTAATTTGTATTACGTATGAACAATGTCAAAGTGCTGAATTATTTATTCAACTGTAATTAGTTTACGTTTTGTTGATGTTGTCGCTTATTGTGTTGCGGTACAAGAAATTATGGAAGACATACATGACAAATTTTTGTTGGAAAGAGATGGTTTAGAGAATGTTGTGAACAATGTGATATCAGTGGATGAGAAAATTGTAGGAAAAGATGGTCCGATGGTGCCAAAGGTTGGTATGATGTTTAATGATGAAAAAGAATTGTGGGATTTCTACAAAGGATATGCATATCATGTCAGTTTTCCAGTAAGGAGAAGGAATTTAAAAAGGGAGACGATGAAAAAATGAAATATGTCACCTTCACATGTAGCTGTGAAGGCAGAAGAACCACTAGTACAAACGGTACTTTGAAGCCTCAACCATCAATTCAGACAGATTGCAAAGCTAAGATCACTGCATCTTCTGATATTCATGGGATCAGGAGAATTACACAGTCCACTTTGATCACAATAAAAAAGTCCTTTAAAGTTGAGGTTGTATCGCTGCAATCGAGAATTAAGTTTACATGTGAAATGGAAGCTTGAGTTAAATAATATGGCAAGAATTTCATTGCACAAAAGTTACAACTCCGTAGTTGTTGAATCGGTTGGATATGAAAATATTACTTGCGTGAAAAAGAAAGGGCGCGCCAAAAACGTTTCGGAGAAAAAACCTGTTGGAGACCTCTTTGAAGAAAGCAAAGGTATGTTGGTCCGTGTTTTTGTCAACTTAAACAATATTTCATTACAATATCTTATTAAATACATAATTACGTGCAGACATCAACCAAAGGAAAGAGGTCAATGTTCGAACACAGTAAGACACCATCTATTATACTTGTCGTTCAAACATAGCAACAATATTTTATTCAAATACCGTTTTCATATACACAACTATCGATGGTTAGTATATTTTGTTTATTATAATTATTTGTT